GGCAGGGCAAGGGCACAGTGCCAGCAGCAGCTCTCCCAGCCACATCCTCCCCCCTTTAGCCTTCCCCTGGCCCCGCAGACCCCCGGGAACAGACCACTGATGGCACCGGCCCCACTGCCCCCCGCCCGGGAGGAGAGGGGAGAAGGGACACACTCGGGGTCCCCGTGTCCCACATGCTGTCCCCTCGACCCCACCAGCCACCCAACTTACCCATGATGGGCTGGCCTGGAGTGAGAGCTGTGCCGGGTGTGCTCTGAGCTGGAACCTTCCTTTGGGCACAAACCAACTGTGCCATGGCCACCAGGCTCCTGCCAGCCACCCTCCCACCATGGGCCTGGGCCACACACCTCCATCTGGCAGACACGGATCTGGCTGCACTTCTGCTCTGCTGAAGCCCAGAGCAGACAGCAGGTTAGTGGCACCACGGGTGCAGGAGTCCTGGGTCACAGAGCAGCAGTGGTGACGTCCTGCAGGCACCCCTGTGTCCCCACCCCCAGTAACACAGACACACCATCTCTGCTGCAGGCAAAGCAACTTTATTGGCTTCAGGGCACTCATTGCTCAGGGGAATTCACAGCTTTTGCAAGGGTGGGGTCTGTGAGGCCTTCCAAGCACCTGCCACACTGCCTGGCAACACCTCAGGATCAGCACTGCTCTTGGGTTCTGCATCTGGAGCTGCTGCCTCCTTGGGTTTTTCAACTGGCGATTTTCTCTACCAGGGCACCGGCTGCTGCCCCGAGTGACCCCAGCCCAACTTCGGCACCAAGAGATAAACCTGCAGCTCCTGCCAAGACAGATGGAAGAGTGATGTCCCAGCACCATCAAGACTGCCTGCTGAGGGACTGGGCACAGAGCAGGGACAGCCAAGGACTTCTCCTGGGCAGGGGGAACCTGGAGAGTTCACCATGGAGCGATTCCAACCCATGACAGCTCAAGGGGCTGGTTTGGCTCTACAGCAAGGCCAGGGTACAATCCCGTGTTCCTGAGGGCATGAACCCAGTGCAGCCCAGCTGCCCTGCCCTCCCCACTCACCGATGGACTGCAGCACAGCCACGGTGCTGCCGGCTGCCACTCCCCCTCCGTTGGCGATGGCAGCTGCCGACATCATCTTGGCAGCGATGGATCCAGCGGCGATGCCGCCTGCGGTGAAGCCCAGCCCAGCAACGACAGCCGGGGCGGCAACCAGTGCCACTCCTGC